CCTGGGGAAAAGAATGTTAAAGGGTTTTTTTTTTAGGAGATTTGCCACCCGTCAAGGGAGATGAGCTCAACATTTCAACAGACTGGGAGCAGCCCAAAAGATCCCTGAAATATAACGGCCATCAGCAAACATCAACGAACATCAGCAAAACATCAACGAACATCAGCAAAACATCAACAAACATCTACCCCAAACATTTCCCAGACCCCCTGGCATGGTCCAAGGTACCTGGGCTGGGAAAAGAGAGATAAGGAGGAGGACCTGATTCGCATCAGAGGTGAGGAAATCCATGGGATTTCCAATAGGAAACCAGATACTAAACACTATGCAACGCTGGACCGACGAACATTAAACCAATAAAGTTCTCTGGGTTTGACTGTATAAAGTTTGGGGAAAATCTTGTGAAATCCATGTGTCACAGAATTATTTTCTCTGCACACCCGGACCTTGTGTGGATGAAATTATTCCTGTGGCACATCCTGGCCAGAAAATCAAGTGATGCCTTGACTTTCTGACATTAAAAATGTTGTTGGAGAGTTTTCGTTTCTCCTGCAGTTTCGGTGACTCCTGCATCCCGCGGGGAAAGAGAGCGAGCCCCGAGTGTCGCTGCATCCCGCTGGGAGTGAGCCCGGAGCGTTCCTGCCCTGCTCCGAGGAGCACCGGGGGAGCTGAGCTTTCCACACCCCGCTGGGAGTGAGAGCGAGCCCGGAGCTCCGAGTACTGAGCTTCCTGCATCCCGCTAGGAACGAGACACCAGAGCTCCAAGTACTGAGCTTCCCGCATCCCACTGGGAGTGAGAGCGAGCCCGGATCGCCCCTGCCCTGCTCTGTGTGCTGAACCTCCTGCATCGCGCCGGCAGTGAGGGTGAGCCCGAAGCCTCCCGCATCTCGAAGGGCGTGAGGGTCAGCTCCGAGAGCCTCTGCCCCGCTCCGAGGAGCTCCTGGGAGCTGAGCCTCCCTGCATCCCTCTGGGAGTGAGAGCGAGACCAGAGCTCCGAGTACTGAGCTTCCTACATCCGCCGGGAGTGAGAGCGAGCCCGGAGTGTCCCTGCATCCCGCCGGGAGTGACAGTGGGCCCGGAGCGCCCCTTCCCCTGCCCTGAGCCTCCCGCATCCCGCCGGCAGTGAGGGTCAGCCCTGCCCCTGCCCTGCTCCGCGGAGCTGCAGCGAGCAGCACCATCGCCCTCGCCAGCCCTCAAGGTTACGGAGCGCTGGGGAGGAGGGGAAGGCTGTGCGTGGTGACTCGACAGAAATACTAATCCAGCCGAGCTGCAGGATTAGGGGGAGAAATTAATGGGGAGAACCTGCGGAAAGCGTGAAAATAATTTGCATATCTGGCTMTCTGGCTCTTCTCCTGGGCAGGGAACACTCCTCCTCTCACTGGAGGCTGGGGGGAATTCTGCAGGGCTCAGGTAAGGCCTGAGCTGATCTGTGAACAGCTGAAGGGGGTCCTGTACCCCTGCTCCTGTCCTTGATCCCCTCCACAGCATCTGCACCAGCTCTGGCACTCACTGGGCTTGAAAACAGCTCTTTTTACCCACCAATCTGGCAAAAAAGCGACCTGGGAGAAGAAATGAGCTCAGGGAGGTCAGGAAAGCAWGCCTCTGAGGGGAAATTCTGAATTCTCCATGGTTCCTGCCAGCCCACGGRTCCCAGGGCTGGAYCTGCACTKGGGTTSTGCCACYGCCATGTGCTGGGAGTKCTCTGTGTTACAGTGGACACAGGAATCTCAGCAAGTCCCGGCCTCTGAGGGGAAATTCTGAATTCTCYGTGGTTCCTGCCAGCCCATGGATCCCAGGGCTGGACCTGCACTGTGACTGTCACTGCCACGTGCTGGGAGTGCTCTGTGCCACAGGGGCCTCAAGAATTTCAGCAGCTCCTGGCCTTGGAGGGGAAATTCTGGATTCTCCACGGTTCCTGTCACCCCATGGATCCCAGGGCTGGATCTACAGCAGGGCTGTGCCACTGCCAGGTGCTGGGCACGCTCTGTGCCATAGAGGACACAGGAACCTCAGCAGCTCCCGGCCTCCAGGGGGAATTTCTGCATTCTGGGTGGTTCCTGCCACCCCCCAGATCCCAGCCAGCCTYCCTGCCAGGCACAACTGGCACAGCACAAGTGAGAGGCTGCAGGAGGAGATTTGGGCAGGACAGGGACTGAATGTCCCAGTGCTCAGATAATCCAAGGCTGCTCCCGAAGCCAGCACACAGCACAGCTTGGCTCTTCCTCCTCTTTTCCCTACTGGTCCAAGGGAAGAACCAGCAGGCTGCCAGGGGTCTGGGCAATCTGAAACCTCCCCAAAAAMCCTCTAAGAACCTGTGCTGAGGGTCCCATAAAGCAGAGCCCCTGGGGCAGTTCCCAGCTACAGCCTTCTCTCCTCCTTGTGTTTGTGCTGTGCCTCTCCCTCTCTGCCGCATCCCTTTGCTCGGCAGCTCCCCAGAACTGCTCCCTTTCCGAGCTCTGCTCCCAGC